TCCTGACCTGCCTGCTGCTCCCCTCAGCAGTATACTTCTTCAATCTGCCTGTTCTGCCCCCCACTCTGGTGAATCCTCTCACCTACCCTGCACTTCTGGCCTGTACCCCAGTTCTGTACCATAAATAAATAAATCTTTTTAAAAAAAAAAGTCACAAAAAGAAAAAGTTTCAAAAAAAAAAAGGAAGTGTTGGTTTTAAGTTTACAATCACTGCTCTCATGAGTCACAGGCCCCAGATTAACATCCCTGCTAGCCCACTCCCCTTAATTTTAAGGAGGAGGAAAGCAAAATCTATATAGAGATGCTTGCTCAAGACAGAATTAATGGCAAAACAGGATTCAGAAACCAGGCCTTTTGGTGCCCAGTTGGTGGCTTAGCTCAGCACTGCCTGGTAGAGCTGTTTAACCTTCACACAATGCCTCAGGTCTTCAAAGCCAGCTTGTGCACTCCTGACAAAAATCCAGATCTTTTTTTCTCATCTGCTTTCTACACAGAGTTGGCCTCAAGAAATACTAGCTAAGGAAGAAAAAAAAAAAGTGAGATCAATTCAGACTTTGGTTCTCATGAGTTAATTAAGTACTTGGCAATGACCACTTAGGCTGGGCCAGAGCAGCCTGGGGCAGGTTAATGTGTGTTTCCCATTGGAGGCAGGCACAGAGTTAATTTCTCCACTGGTTGATTAAGTTCTACTTTGCAGGGAATCTATGGTTCTCCCCATGTAACCTAACACTGGGTTTTGTGGACTCTAGCCAGAAGCCTGGCCTCAGACAACAGCTGCTCCCACCTCACTGTGTCTTTATACCTGGGGAGGGCAGCAGGTTGTGAGGCCTGCCTCTGACTATACAAAAAGCAGCTGCTAACCAAGGCCCTCCAGGCAGATTCCACCTAGTAATTTATCCTAAAGGAGCTGAAATTCTGGACTTTGGATGCTTAAGCTTAATTATGTTAAAAAAAAATTCTTGGGCTCTTCTCAGACTATGTTGTTCAGATACTATACGGGGCTTAAGGCAATGCTGGAAAATGGGTTGGCTCTATCATCCTGGGTAAATTGCATCGGGCTTGGGAGTCCACTCTGTCACTAAGAGCTCCTGCATCAGGACTCTCTGATTCTCTCGTGTTTTATTTTTTGGTGTCTACACATGCTACTTTGTGGGAGAGATGATCTCTCTCATATATACCTCAGCTCCTCCCCACTTATCCCTGGTAGATGTCAGTGTCTGGGCTGGCACTAAGCCTCGTTCTCCCTGAGCACACAGTGCAGGCCTTCTCCTCTGGGAACGGGGACATGGCTGCTCGCTGCCAAGAATACTTTTCCCCCAGGAGCCTTAGCACGATGCATCTGTAAGAAAGGGGCAGTAGAGACTGAAGGCTGCCTCGAATGTGGGGAGGACACAAACTGAGGTTGGGGTGACAGTGAGACAAGCACAGACGCTGAAACTGAACTGAACTATGATGTTATCTGCAGCTACTGCAGCATGAGTGCGATCCCTGGCCAGGGAGCTGATACATGTACATGGCCTGGGAGACCTCTCCTGTCTCGCCCATTGCTCCCCTCAACAGTATATCTCAGTCAATCCACCTCTTCTGCTCCCCACTCTCTTGTGAATCCTCTCACACACCCCCACACCTCTGGCCCGCACCCCAGTTCTTGTATGCATAATTTTTTTTTAGAACACGTCACAGGTTGGGGTGACAGGCAAGCACAGATGCTGAGATGTCAGTGAGGCAAGTTCCAATCTGGTGATGCTACCATGGAATTGGGGCACAACACTCAAAAAGGCCCTGATTATTAGGCCTTGCCCTAATAATAACAATAGCTACAGTGTGTTAAGAGCTTGATGTATGCCAGGCATTATACTAAGTGCTGTATAAACCTTATCACATTGAGTTACCACATGTCTTATGAAGTAGAGAAGTTGATCTCCACTGTAGCCATTAGGACATTGAAGCTTGGGAAGCCTGTCACTTGCCTAAGGATAATCAGTATCAATCAATCTAACTCAGCTCATAGATAAAGCCCTTGCTCTCATTGATTTATCCTCCCTGGTCACCTGCTTGGGAGAAAGGGAACTGGAAAGGCAAATACCAGATGCTTTCATTCATATGTCAAATATAGAAAAACAGACAAAGCCAATCAACAGACAAAGGGCCAAAACAAGCCCTAAGAGGGTCCTCTCTGGTGGTGCAACAGGTTAAAGCACAGCACTATGAAGTTATCTGCAGATACTGCAGCATGAGTTCGATCCCTGGCCAGGAAGCTGATCCACATGGCGTGGGAGATCTCTCCTGACCCGTCCGTTGCTCCCTTCTGCAGTGTGTTTCAGTAGATCTGCCTGTTCTGTTCCCCATTCTGTCTCTGTCTCACCCACCACACCTCTGGCCTGTACCCCAGTTCTTGCATGCATAAATAAAAATAAACCTTTTTTAAAAAGTTATTTTTTGGGCTCTCCCTGGTGGCGCAATGGGTCAAAGCATCACACTATGAAGCTCTCAGAAGCCACATTAGCACGAGTTCAATCCCTGGCCAGGGAGGTGACCCTCCCTCTGCTCCCCTCTGCAGTGTGTTTCAGTAGATCTGCCTGTTCTGCTCCCCACTCTGTCTCTGATGAACCCTCTTACCTACCACACCTCTGGCCTGTACCCCAGTTCTGAAAGCATAAATAAAGAAGTCTTTTAAAACAAACTTAATTTCTACAGGATTGGTATATATCTATATACCCAGGGTACTTTTCTATTACACACTTATTTTTAACCAGAGTGAATATATACCATTTAATGTTCTGTTTCATGCTTGATTCTTTTAACATGTGCCAGACATCTCACATGTCAATTTGTTCTCTTTAATGAATATATTTATTATGTGTCCAGATAGATAAAAATTTATTTTTATGGCCTTATTATAGTCATTTAATTTATTGCTAGTTGCCCAGATAGCTGGAAATACCCTTATATCCATATTTTTATATATTTATCTAAATATTTCTGTAGGATAAACTCCAAAAGTAGAATTGCTGAGTCAAAGGGAATTTTAACAGATACTACAATGTTGGAACAAGCATAAACACCTTTTCAAATGTCTACTTGCCATTCTTATGCCTCTTGGGTAAACTTCTGTCCACATACTGTTGATTTTATGCTCAACCTGGAGATGAGTGGAGCTCAGAGGGGCCAGGACTGGGCTTCTCAGCACTCTGCTCCCCTGTGCTCCCTGCACCCACCCAGCCAGTTCTGCCTCTCAGATGTCCACAGAGCCCCCAAGAAATGACTCGTCGCAACCACGGACCCAGCTGAACCTGGACCAGACAGCAGAGTTTCTGAACCTGTGTGACCACCTAGCACTGTGACTCACCTCCACCCGGGGGCATCAAGTCAGAGTCCCTCCCCACCTGGTTCCTTTCCCTCTCTAAATGGAGGCTTCCCCAATGCAAGGAGAGGGTGGCACTTCCAGATCTAAAGCTCTGAGAGCCTAAATCCATGGAGAAGGGGGGACCTCACAGGCAGGAAGCTAGGGCAGGGGCTTCAAAGCATTGCCAAGACAGAGATACTTACAGATGCCAGGGTCGTTGCAGGTGAAGGTCCCATCCTCAGGGACCAGGTGGGCATTGTACCTCTGGTTGGGTAGCACCTCTGTCATCTCCCCTGCCCGCTGCCGCTCCCCCATCTTAGTCTTTAGGAAAATCCCGAAGCCGATGTCCGCCCCGTCTGATGCAAACTGCCACCTGCAGAGGACAGACGTCCATTCAAACATGATTGTTTTGCCGCCAGTGATACTTACGCCCCAGCCACACCTACCGCTCAGAGGCTCGGCTCTCTCGGCAGGCCTGGGTTTCTACCTGAGGACACAGCCAGGGAAGAGGATCTCATACTCCACTTGGTGAGAGGAGCCACGGGAAATCTGTACGTTGTGCTCATACTGCTGTTTCACCTGGTCTCGCACATAATACTTCTTGGGGATGTCACCCCCGTAGTTGATCTAGAAGCCGAGTGTAGAGTGAGCTGGAATGCACATTCGAGCCGGACTTCCCAGGCCTCCTCCAGCCCCTGGCCACCCACCTTGGATTTGCACTTGGGGTTTCCATCAGGGTCAGTCATGGTTCCCCCATACTCCACAGGTATCTGGTCAGGGCTGATATATTTCAGTAAAACCTCCTTCCAGTTTGCTGGCAAGGGAGAGAAGGAAAGAGAAAAAAACAGTCACAATCAGGCAGTTTCAGTCCAGCCCTGGCAGTCTCCACGAAAGAGCAGAAAGAAAGACACCTGGGCATTAGAAGTCTGTGATGTGTGCCCCACTCTGCAGAAAAACCAGGAGGCTCCATCACCCAGAGACTGCTCTGCCCTCAGGAGACCTGGGGTCCTGTCCCAGTGGCCTCTGGTCAGTCGAGCAACTTAGGCAAATCACTTTATTCTGAACCTTGTTCCTCCAGCCTTCAGGGTTCTGGTGGGAGTGAGGCAAACTGAGTACTTGAGAGGGTTTTGTAAACTGTAAAGTGTCTATGCAAATGAGAGTGAATCATCACTCCTAGGAAGGTGAAACACATTTGAAGTGCAAGCCGGACACGAAAGGCATTCTCACAGAGGGGAGGGTGAGCGCAGGCAGGGACCTGGAGTCATGAAGTCTGTCCTGGGTACACAGCCGTGTATGTCTTGTCCCTCCACTTCCCGCTCAGTGGTGACTACTACGTGCATCACCGGAGAGGTATCCTTAAGTAAGGGCTCCCCTGGCTTTACCCCAGTCACAATTTCCCTTCTCACGTTTGAGACTGTTTAAAGGCCAGTGACTGGGCTCTTGTTTTTTGAGAGCCAAGTCTTTTCCTGATTAGGCATATTTGACTTTAGCTGAGAACAAACAATGCTGAGAACCACTATTCCCAAATTCCTAAACAAGTATCAGCCAAGGACAATATTTGGTTATGGGAAACCTTTCCATGCTGGCTATGTAGTCTATATACAGGCAGCAATTTCAAGTCATGGGGTTCAGCCCATCTCCTCTGCTGCTGGCTGGAAACCCACAACACCTGTCCTCGGTCTCGCAGTCCTCAGATTTCCTCAGATTCTCCAGCTCATGTCAAGACTGCCAAGACCATACAGGCCCGGCGGTCTTGACGTGATTTAATCTGTGCTGCTAAACCGCAGTGGCCAGCCCGGAACGAGCTTCTCTCCTCTCCCATCGAAGATCCTGTACCTTTTCTGCCCGAGGTGGGTTTGGTTGAAAGAGTTTCAGGTGTGGGAGGGAGAACAGACTGAGCCTCCTCCACAGCTCTGCTGCCCGGAAGCCTCACCGACTCACGCTCAAGGTGGGCGGTAGCAGCAGAAAAAACAAGCCAGCAGAGCCTTTTGCTTGGATTTTGTATTTCTTCCCCCGGCTCAGCTGGAGCATTGGGATGAGGCCAGGAGGATTCTTCCCATCTTGCAGGGAGAGTAACTGAGGCAACAAACTGAGCATGGGTTGCAGCTAGAGCTAGGCGGAACCCAGAATCCCTGTGCCTGCTCCTCCCCTCAGCCCCTCCCCCAGGGGCCCACCAGGCATTTGGAAAATCTCCACTTTTGCTGTGTTGCCTGTAAGTGAATAATGCCTATCCCCAAGTTCAGTTCCAAAGGTGGCCTGAGTCTTCCATGATTCAGCCCCAGTCCACCTTTCTAGACGTTCTCCTACCACTACACCTAATATTCCAGCAAACTCCACTCCTTCGGCCCCTGGCAGGCTCAGCTCCTCTGGGGCCTCCTTGCCTGGCTCCCTCATGCCCTGAGGTTCTCCACGCTGCCCGACAGGTCCAGCCCTGTTGACCTGCTTCCCTGTCAACTTCATCAATCACTTGCTAATCTCCCTAATCTCCAGCCTCAAGTCCTCTCCTAAGCTTCAGATTCAAGTGTCCCCAACACCGGTATATCTCACACTCCTCCAACTCAATTTCCAGCCCATTTTTCCGGTTGTTTCTCCAGCTGAACTAAGGTGTCACCAGCTACTCTGCCTCTCATGCCAGGAACCGGGAGTCCATTTACATTACATTTCTCTTTATAAATCAGCTGAGTTCTGAGGCTTTTTTTTTTTTAAGTAAATTGGTTCTGTTTGGCTTTTTTTTTTTTTAAGATTTATTTATTTATGCATACAGAACTGGGCACAGACCAGAGGTGCAGGGGCGGTGAAAGGATTCACCGGAGACAGAGTGGAGATCAGAAAACGCAGACCAACAAAGTACACTGCTGAGGGGAGCAGCGGGAGGGTCAGAAGAGGTCTGCTGCACCATGTGGTCACCTCCGGGGCTGGTGGTTGAACAGGCACTGAAGCAGCTGCGGCCAGCTTGCAGTGCTGCGCTTTACCCCGTTGCGCCACCAGGGAGGGCCCAGGTCGGAGGCTTTGCTTCCTACATCTTTCATCCATCCTCTCCTCCCTCTCCCACTGCCACCGTCCCAGCCCAGGCCTGCAGCACCTCTTGCATGAACGACAGCAGTCGTGTGCCAACTGGTATCTATTCTTCACAAGCTTGCCAATGTGTTGTCTCAATTTCAAATCTAATCCTGCTCAGGACGACCTGTTGAGGACTTTTCTCCAGTTCCCGTCCTGCCATGTCCCAGCTTGTCACCGGGGTGCCGAGGGGACTGGCTCCTGGCTCCTGGCTCCTTCTCCTGTTCGTCCCTTGACACAACAGCCACGTGCTCTGCAGCACCGCCTGTGCCATGGCGTGAGAGGTCTTTGCTCAGTGCTGTTCTTTTGCCCAACACCTTCCTGCCTTGCTTCATCCAGCCGCCTCTTAATCACCCCATAGCACCGGGCTGAGGCGGCTGGCTCCGCCCTAGGTCAGATGTGGGGAGTACCTCCGCTCACGCTCCCCGTGCACCTTTGGCGTGCCCTCGTTCACGGCTGCTCACCTGCTGATAAACACCTGTTTGTGCCTCCTTTCCCCAAGGGGACTCTTCAAGAAAGCTTGTCCCTTCCTCTTCAAGAAAGCTTGTCCCTTCCTCTTTGCAGCCCTGGCACACAGTCCCGGGCCTGGCAACGCTGGGTCCTCAGCGATGAAGCCCCTCCTCGTTGACCCTAACAGAAAGCAAGCTCTCTGCCCCTGTGACCTCCTCTAGACCCTTCTAGCGGGCATAACTTTCTCTCTAAAGGTCTTTTCTCTCCTGCTACACGGCAAGCTCCTTTAATGCATTCCACTTATCCTGAAACTACAATGCTGAGCCCAGTATTTTCTTCTCGAGGGTCTGAGAGAAAGCCTTCTTAGGAAGAGCGAGGAAGAGTCCAGCCAGGCCCAGCTTGCTCCTGGTTCTACTGCTACCAGTCCAGCAGAGGGAGCCTCACCCTGGTGGTCACAGCCATGGCTCAAGTGCCACCGCCAGTTGGGTCATGGATCATCCTGCAGATTCGAAGAGCATCTGAGCTACTCACCCCCCAGGACCATGATCTTCTTCCGAGTGTCCTCACTCAGGAAGGGTTTGACGAGGTTATAGGCCACAGGAAATAGCTTGGGAGCTGCAACAGAGAGCAAGCCATGTGAGGCTGGTGGACCACATTCTCTAATGCTTGGGGCCCACGTGGGCAGCCCAGGGCACCTCTTTGAGCCCCAGCTTCCCCGTCTCTACAGTGGGTATAGTAGAGTGAGCTAGGTGGCTCAAAGGAGATTAAGAATGCTAAAAGTTTCGCAAACTACAAAGTGGCCCACATATGTCGAGCATTGGTCTTTCGAATGTGTCCTTAGATCGCCTCTACCGACTCTCCTAGTCTGTCCCAGGGAACTTTTTGGCTGCTCTTTCCCTACTGGCTTCATCACTGGTAGTTCCCATCTTACCTTTAATAACAAAAAGATGCTTCAGTGTTTCAGGATAGTTTTCCTCAAACATGCAGAGAAACTGTGGAAACAAAATCACTGAGTCCTGTGGGCTCAGAGCCCTGTCCCAGGGTGAGGCCCTGCTCCCTCCAGGCTGGGTTCTGCCCTGTCACCTCCCCCACCCCACAGGGCACCACTCCCCCTTCCACACACCTCCCAGCCCTGCCCCTGACCTCTCCATAGGCCTCCACAGCAGGCTTCCAGAGGTGCTTGAGGCCAAGCCCCTCGCAGTCATAAATCAGGGTGATGGTCTCCACCTTCTTCCCCACCTGCAGGGCAGGCAGAGGTGCAAAGAGTCACATCAGCCTGCCCCACTGCCGATGCCACCCCAACTGAGGGCAAACGCTGATTTTGCTTCAATCACCCATAATGCAACTGATGTACGCAGGGCCACACCTAGGGTTTTTCAATGGAGATAATTGCTCCGGGCCAGAACTGTGGCCTGGGTAAGTCACTCTTCCTGCCTAGGTCTCTGTTCTGGTCCAGTGAATGATGGGTGGATCGAGATTACATCTGAGGCCCTCTGTTCCGCAGTGTGACCTGGCAGCCTCTTCCCACGGCCCTCTTCCCAGGGCCGTGTGTGCTCAGTCCATGGGTCTGGTGTGGCCACTCACCTCCCTGACCACCCTAAGCCTCAAGCAGGCATGCCCCCCTGCACCCCAGCATCTGCACACACTAAGCTCTCAGTGAGTGTTTGTGGATGACGTGCTGAAAGGTCCCCACATCGTGGTGTGAGTCCTTACAGCACTGAAGAGGAAAGGGGGGGGAGGAGAGTTTGCTCCTCAGCCTTTTCTCAGTAATGGGAGCAGCGGTCCTTGCTTCTCTGAACAGAGTTAAAGAAGCACAGACTCAGCTCACTCACACCACTGTTACCACATGTGTAAAGGTAGGGTGGCCCCGGACAGAGACTTCACTGGGGATCATAAAGAAAAATACCAATAATAGAGTATGTTTTTATGAAGCTAAATTGAGTCCATTTAAAGCCTTGCCCTTTCGCCTGAGATTAAGCTGTTTGTGTAGCTTTGGGGTGAATTAAGGCAATACCAGCTGGTCATTTCATTTAAGTCCTTACTTGGAAAAATTAAAAATAATGACATGTCAGTCCCTACACCTTGGAAACTGCACTTGGCTATAGATCCCAACAGGCCTCCACCTGAAGCTGTGCTTAAACTGTAACCCCTTGTGACAGCCCCGCTCCAGCTTGAACCCCTCTGCTGTGCTTCGCTCCCTCCTAGCCCTGACAGTGCACTTGCCTTTCCCGTCTGGCGGACACACTCCTGCAGGAGCAGCTCGCAGTCCCGCATCTTGGTCCTGAGCAAGTCCTGTTTGGTAGCTGATAAGAGCAGCCCCTTGGTATCCAGGGGTCCGATGACGTCATACCAGATGGGGCTGCCTTCCAGGTCGTAGCCACACATGCCGCCCGACAGATACTGCTGGATCACCTGAGCCGCGACAACGAGGAGACACCCCGTCAGCTGGCCCAGGGCAGCCTCCCCTACCCCGTGCCCCTGGGCCTGCTCTGGTTCTCCCTCCACGTGGATCCCCATTGTGGGCGCCACTGGGGCTCACGTGACTTGTGAGGATCCCAGCTGGGCAGGCCCAGGATACCGACTGCAGGTTGAGACATTGCATGGGGGAAGAAGCATCATCTGTCCTCACCTCCGGAGGCTGCCAGTTTATGATGTTGTCAATGTCCTTTTGCTTCCGGAACTCCACATGCTGTGAACACACAATTAGGGAATTCAAACAACAGGGGTACGTGGCTTGACAGGCAGCCAGAAATAGGTGACAGCATAGTCAGACGCCAGGCCACCGGTGGGTCCCCAGAAGGCAGCCGCAGGGATGGAAAGATGATCATTCTTCGCCGCCCAGACTGTGGACGCTGTGTTTCCCGGGAGGGGAGTGCATTTTGTCCCAGAGGGTCAGCAAATACTCAGTTATGTCACACCGGCCAAAGGCGGTGTGGGGGTGGTGGGTGGGACGGACTAAAGAAGCCTGAGCACGGTGTGATTCTGACGGCCATGGTCAGAGGGACTGTGGCCTTTGGAGCCAAAATGGACCTCACCTTCCGCAGCATGGCTTCGGACTTCTGCAGGTCGAAGTTTCTTGCTGCAACAAGGAAACATGGTTAGGGTTTGGCCAGCAGACTGGGCAGCCAAAGCCAGGGAGACTTCCTATTCCCGTGTGGGGCTGGCTCTTCTCCGTCACTGACTCTCTCCAGTCCCCCCCTTCCCCCACAGGAGTTACATGAGTCCTCCACTGAGCCCTCTTAGAGCTTTGTAGCCCCTGGGTCGCTGGGAGAGCAGGTGAGGCCGCATTGCAACTGCAGGGTCAAAAGAGTCTTACCCTGGGCCCTCTCTGGTGGCGCAGTAAGTTAAAGCGCAGCACTATGAAGCCAGCACAGCCACTGCAGCATGAGTTCGATTCCCAGCCAGGGAGCTGACCCACGCGGCGCAGCAGACCTGTCCTGACCCACCCACTGCTCCTCTCAGCAGTGGATTTCAGTACATCTGCCTGGCCTGCTCTATCCCTGGTGAAACTTCTGACACGCCCCCCCACACACACACATCTGACCTCTACCCCAGTTCTGTATGTATAAATAAATAAATCTTTAAAAACAAAAGTTTTTACCCTAGTGGGTGCAGTCAGGTGACGGGTTTTATCTCCTCTGAGGGAATGTGAACCCTGGGCCCCCTTATCACTGAATCTTCCCCTTACACAAAGTTAATCTACTCCATAGTCCTGAGAACTTGATGCACAGTTCAAAGATGAGCGTAGCTGCTCAGCCATTTGGGGTGGAGCTGGCAGAACAGCTCATTAGGATGGACGGGGAGGTGAGCGTCCAGTCAGCCTTGCCATCTCCTCAAAGGAACCGGGCACACCCTAGTGGGAGGCAGAGCGCGCTCCTCCCGGGCTTCCTGGGAAGTTTCAGCATTAGCGATCACCCAGGCCCAACAAGTTACCCTGCGCAGACTTAAACACAAAGAGCTCACTGCCTCGCCCCCACCAAAGCCGCCTGCTCCCAGGCAACCAAGTGGCCATTTGCACACGGGTCTCGTTGTTATGAGCAGAGAGCCCCTCCAGAGACACTCAGAGAGGAAGGGGTGTGTCCTCAGTCACCGGACAACCTGCCCGATACTAGCAGGTTCTGACCTACTGAGAGTGTCCCCTGCGGCTACCAAGTGGCTCCTTCTGGGACCCTGTGGCCAGTCCCCACAGTTCGGTTTCAAATCTATCCAAACTTCCCTTGGCTCATGTCCAGTTTGCAGTGACCCTCTCAAAGTGTGCCACTGTGAGCTGAGCACCGCCCCAGGTGTGGGCCACCCTTCTCCAGTGAAGCCTCAGAACTTTCTTGACAATCGCCACACCCCTAACCCAGTAGAGCTTACAGTCAACTGAAACCCCCAAATCCTTTACACCTGTGCTGCCACTAAGCCTCCGTCCCACGTGTGCAGAGGAGGTTCTCTGGTTCCATTCCTATCAAATTTCACCTTGGTACAGTCGGCTTCCTTCCATCCTTTAAAAAACAGTTGAGGGCCCTCCCTGGTGGCATGACAGGTTAAAGCATCACACTATGAAGCCATCCGCAGCCACTGCAGCATGGAGTTCGATCCCTGGCCAGGGAGCTGACCCACGTGGTGCAGCAGACCTCTCCTGTCCCTCCCACTGCTCCCCTCAGCAGTGTACTTCAGTACATCTGCCTGTTCTGCTCCCCACTCTGTCTCTGGTGAATCCTCTCACCCCCACCCCACGTCTGGCCTGTGCCCCAGTTCTTGTATGTGCAAATAAGTACATTTTAAAACACACACACACAGAGTTGGGGCCCTCACTGGTGGCACAACAGGTTAAAACGCAGCATTATGGAGCAATCGACAGCCACTACAGTGCAAGTTCTACCCCTACAGGGAGTGACCCACATGGCACAGCAGACCGCTCCTGTCCTGCCTGCTGCTCCCCTCAGCAGTGTATTTCAGTCGATCTGCCTGTTCTGCTCCCCACTCTGTCTCTAATGAGGCTTCTCACCCCCCTACACCTCTGGCCTATATCCCAGTTCTTGTATGCATAAATAAATAAATCTTTTTTTAAAAAAAATTGGGATTCTAGAATCCAATCAATTGTGTCATCTGACCTATGAACTGTCAGTCCCAGCTATGTGTCTTCTATGGATTTGATCAACATCAAGGTCTGCTGACAGCCATTGGACTAGGGCCAGAAAGACTGCCCTCTGGACTGCCATCAGTCCCTTAATCACCACTCCTGGGAGGAGCTGAGCACATTCCATGAAGTCAACCCCTTGCCTACACCCAGAGGGTGCATCTGGATATCTAATCAGGGCCATGACCATCATCAGTGGACACACGCTGGCACCATTCAGCAGCCTCACTCTTGGGAAGTTCCTCCCGACTGTTCCCCCTTCTACACCATCATGGCAGTGGGGCGCAGCTTTAGAGGAACAAAATCTGAGTTTGCGTTTAGCTCTTCCATTTTTAACCTGTTGGCCTTGAACAAGATACTGCACGTCTGCTGAGTCCTCTAAGGAGCTAGAAACACTTGGAAGATGCCTGGCAGTATCTCCTCCCAGTGGGCAATCCTAGGTGGACAGTGGAGTCTTTCACAGGCAAGACACTCCTATTGGGAGGAGAGCCACTATCTGTCTACAGAACAGGAGTAGTAATGAACTGTGAGCCCCCTTATCTCAGAGATGTTCTCTAGTTAACCTTTAGGTATAGGTTAGGTCAGGTCTTTTCCAAGAGCCCCTCCCAAGTCTCCACTGGCCCTGGCGGCACATTGCCTGGTACCTCCCGGACTTCCGAGTCAGGCTTCTTCAGGGCTCCTGCTGCTCTGGTCTGGGGCAGCTCCCAGCAGGACTCAGGGCACCCCCAGAGCAAGCAGCTAGCCACCACTTCCGGTCTTATCTTGCCATCCACCCCCCCACGCCCCCTCCGTGGGCTGCCCTGAGTTCAGCCCAGTCAGGGGGAGTCTGTGGGGGTTGGTGTACCTGCTCTAAAAGGCTGGGGGTTGAGCCCACATGTGGGGGAGGGAGAAAGAGTAGAATCCCAAGTTTACACCTAGGTTTGAGAAAGACAGCTTGCTGGATGGCTTGCATCTTGAAAGGGTTCCTTAAGAATCAAAGGGAGAAAGAGAAAACCTTTCTTAAAAAAAAGGGGGGGGTGGTGGTGGGAGAAGAACCAAATACCCTAATTGAAATTCTCAGTAGAATCTGACCAGGCCTGAGCTCCTGCCCAGGAAATGAGGCACAAATAAGGCACAGATGAGGCACTTCCTGTATTTGAGGAGGCAGAGACTGGCTTCAGGGGGTAGCTGTGGCTTCCTGGAGGCTTCCCCCCAATTCTGCTCTGCATTAGTGACCTTTCCCTCTGAGCCTGCTTCCTAGCAAATGAGGATGACCACACTTGTCAACGTTCCTGGGAGCAGGGAGGCTGTACCTGGTCTGCGATCTTGGGGAACTGTCAGGCAAGAAGGGGTATCCCAGGCTGGGGAGTTGGGGGTGTCTGGGAAGCCAGCGGCCGAGACCCTAGACCAGCCTCCTCTTCATAAATGGGGGCCGTGTTGTATTCCAACAGCTCTCTGAAATCATGCTCTGTGGCCTAGCAGCAGCTCATAGTTGGCTTGATCATCTTGCAGCTGGCCCTTTAAGGTGGCTGCTGCCATCTTCCCACTCTCCCGCCACCCCCTCTAGCTACAGTCCTCTAGCAAATGCTGGGCCAAAATATCCTCCAGCCTTGGACTGGATCCACAGGCACCCCCACACTACCCCTCCACCTTCTCCGGGTGGGCTGGGGAGGTGGGTTTCAAGCTGCTCAGGGGACTTCCGAAGGCACTCAGGGCTCCAGGGGCCCTCCTGGCTGTCTCTGCTCTGGGGTGTCAGCTAGCCACCCCTCTACTATGGAGTAGAGGGGCAGGAAAGGGAAATGCACCTCCTCACAAGACCCAAGACTCCTAGGGGGTGTGTGTGTGTGTGTCTGTGTCTATAAAAGAAGCAGCACGATTCAGACCTTCATATTTGTGGGTAGGAGTCCACCTTACAACTTCATCTCTGCTAACCTAACACAGTAAAATGTTCTCTATTATTTCTGTGTCTGGTAATAAACTTTCTATAAAGAAAAAGTGTGTCAGAAAACGCAGACAGGGTGGCACATGACGACTCACAAGAGAGGAAAAGAGAGACAAGAACAGGAAGATCTCAGGTCTAGAGACAAGGGGGTTGAGTTGACCCCGATGCCGGAGGGAATGGGTGCATTTATTTCATCACCAGCGCAGGGCCCTGTCATGTCACATCTTGCAACAGGCGGGCACCCTGTCTCATCCTGCTCTCTGAGAGCAGCCTGGGGCAGATGCTTTGTCCCTGACCCAAGTGATACAGCTGGGGGTGGGGGCGTTGTGGGCAGAGCTGGGACCAGATCTCAGGGTCTAGGCCTGATGGTCGTTCCAGGGCAGTCTTATCAACAGCGGTCAGACCAAACACACCCCCACACCAGCGTTCCCCTAGCACACCACCCTCCTGGGAGCCCCTAAACTGCTGGCAGCAGGGATCCTGCCATCCCAACAGGCCACAGAGAGACTGGCCTCCCCCGGGGCCAGAACTCTGCTTGTAAACTAGCCTCTGACTGCCCACGTGGCTGGATTTTTCTTCCACCCACCGGCAGAATGGATTTATGGAGTGGACAGGAAGGGGCTGTGCTGGAAGCTGGCCCTCCCCTGCCTGCGCTCAGTACTGAGGGCTGGGGGCGAGTGTCTTCACTCTCTGAGCCTCCGTGTCATGATGAGCCCAACGGAGGGGTGAGGTGATGCGATGGCAAGGGCCCCCTTGCCTCTTAAGGTCGAGTCCTCCAGATGCGCCGACGGCCGGGAGAAGGGTTCCAGAGGCTGCCATTCTGCTGCCCGGAACACATCCTTGCCCCAGCCTCCCACCCCTCTTCCCTCACCTCGGAGCCAGCGCAGGAGAAAATAGTCATCTGGGTTCGGCAGGGTGGGCAGCACGTCCTGGACATTCTCCCGAAACTGTAGGGAGAGGCAGCTGGGTGAGTGGCAGGGCCGACCCTGACCGCCCTCTGCCCCGGATTCTCAGTAAGGGCTTTTGCTGGACGCTCGCTGCACACAGGTCAAGGCTGCAGACACCAGCGGAGCTCCGTGGGGCACACTCCTGCAGGTGGGAGGCAGGTGGCAGGGGAGGTGGGAAGGGAGTAAGTCAAGGCCCCTGCCTCACCACACCGCGTACTTCCACGCTCCAGGGCGGCGGGCAGATGTGATCCCAGCTCACTGGGATCAGACGCTCCGGGACAGGCCACAGTAAAAGCCATCCATTTCCCAAGCGTCCCCTGCGTGCCAGCACTGAATTTGGCACTTATCTTATTCACCCCTCACTCAGAGCCCCTAGAGGTAGTACTGTCCCCATTTTATAGATGAAGGAATGAGAGCTCAGAGAGGCTAAGGAACATGCCCAAGGTCAAACAGCTAGTAGTCAGCGGAGCTGGGATGCAAACCCGAGTCTGAGCAGAGTCTGAGGCAGAGCACGCCTCCTCCCCCAGCACCTCGGCCTGGCCCTTAGTAATGAGACTGGTGAACACCGCCTGGGGGCTGGGGCTGGGAAGAGGGTGGCTGCATTTGACTTCATAGGGGAAAGTGGCATTTGAACTAGAACTGAAAGACTTCAAAGGCAGCAGGAGGAGGGAGGAGGGCAGCCAGGTGGAGGGGACCGATCCATGGAAAGCCGCCGTGAGGGAGGAAACGCGAGCTGGACAGTGGCTCCAGGGATGACCACACCTCCCACTGCTCACTGCTCTGTGAGCATACCCCCCCGCCCCCGCACACGGCATGTCCTGCTCCCAGTCGCTCACCTTCCCCTAGTGACTGACCTATGACATCCACATAGTGCACCAATGAGGATGGGCCACCTCTGCCTCTTGCCTGGTCAGCTGGCGACTCAGCCCATCCCCCCAAAATTCCCAGCACCCTAAGGAAACTGCTCATCCAGAGCAAGATGTGAAGTCACCTCTCACCAAGGACCAGACCCATACCCCGGTTTCCAGCGCAATCACCCCTAACCCCTCCTCTGCCTCACTTCCCCTGCAGGTCAGCAGTAAAATCTGAAATCGCCCTCTCTAGTCTCCCTAGCATAAGGAAGGCCCAGCAGAGTCCAGGCCCCACTGCCATGGCAGGAGACTCAGCCCCCCACTTTCACCCCCTTTCCCAGCAAAGGAAAACTCTGGAGGCTCCATACCTTGACAGTGGACCCAGTCCCTGGCTCCAAGAACAGTCAACTTCCCCTCTCCCGGAGGGTGACTTTCAGTCGGCTGGGAGGGGTCCAGCCCTGGAACCCGGTTCCCCTCCTTGGCCCAGGGGCCAAGGCAGGGCCAAGCTTACCTTTCAATCTCCTGAAGCGGGAGAGAGGAGGGCTGGCCTCAGCTCAAACTAAGGCCAACCCAGTGAGTTGCGGGTAGGACCCTAGACTTCACAGTTGAAAGTGTTGCCTTAAACAGCGGCCAGACCCATCTCATTTCATTGCATCAAGGAGCCAACAGAGAAGAACAGATTCTGCCCAAGGTCACAGAGCAGCTTGGGGCTTAAGCCAGGGCTACACAAGTGTCTAAGGAGCTGTCCAGGGCCCTTTCCATCCAGCCACTGACCCCCGCTAGAGGAAAATCTCCCGGAAATGGGAGGAAACCTGGGGCCCTGCCCCCCAGGGCCTTGCTGCCAGTCTGGAGAATGAATGTTGCCTTTGTGCCCTCAGCTGCCTCCCAGGCTTCCAAGCAACCACTTCTTCCCAGGTGGCACCGCCAAGGGCTCCTTCAGCGAGGAGACCCGGGTGACCAAACTTCCCAGGGCCCCTCGGCAGGCAGAGGGAGGGAAGAAGGGAGGAGCAGGCCACCGGTCGGGGGCGCCAGGTGCAGCCGCTGCAGCTTCACCTGCGATCCGCCGCCGAGGACCAACGCGCGCCCCCCACCCCGACACCCCCCCCCGCCACCCCCCATTCCTCATCCATCCCCCCAGCCGCCGGAGGGCGAGGGCCAGGGCCCGGGCGGGGGCCGGGGCGGGTGGGCGCTCACCTTGTCCAGCAACTCCTTCTGCTTGGCGCTCAGATCGCCAACTCTGCCGCTCATCCTGGCTCGAGCTCGGAGCGCAGCGACCGCAGCGGCTGAAGAAGCAAGGAATGGGCTTGCTCTCCGGCGCCGGAGTAAAGTCCCAGCCTCTTGCCGGGGCCGCGCGGCTGGCTGCCAAGCCCCGCCTCTTAAAGGCTCCAGAGAGGCGGGACCCACAGATGCGCAGGGCACCCGAGCCTCGACTTGCGTCCCCACCAGCCTCCAGAAGTCGGAGACCTGGGCGGGAGCGCGCGCCGCACCGGCTTGAGGCCAGTGAGCACCAGAAGAGCAGGAAATCTGGGTTGTGGTCCCACATTCACCCTTAGCTCACAGTGTGACCTTGCACGACTCACCTGAGCTCTCTGGGCTTTATTGTAGCCTCCTCCTAGGTGCCTTCAAAGAGTTCTTCTGAGACCAGTCCCCCACCCCCACGCAGAACGCACAACTCCTTTCAAGATGGTAGGGAGCTTGCCTGGTGCCTCTGTGTGCACCTGGGAGTAGGGTGAGGGGTATTGGGGGGGGGGGACACCAGATCCCCTAAGCCTGGACATCACCCTGCCACGGGGAGCTGAGGTTCGGGCTGTTTCTCTCTGGTACTTTCTCAGTCTCCTCCTGTTCTGCCATCAGTTTTGAACCAGCGTGGCTGCCAAGCCCAGTTTGGACCCTTCCAGTGTTGACAGCCTTCCGGGGGTTCTGTCTTCTGAATCTAGCCTTACCAATCTCTGCATTCTCTAAGCTGTGACACCATGTGAGCCAGCCTAGAGTGCTGCTTCCTCTCTGGAACACAGCAGAGCCCTAAGTCGTCCACTTCTTTCCGTGCAACTTCACCTGTCCGGATGGCAGCTTTTGCATGCACTAAATGGAGGTGCAAAGTATGGACTTCAAGGTAGACTGAGAGGATAAAGAAGCTAATGTTCGCAATGCACTCAGCGCAGTGCCTCGCCTCACACAGGGTTTGCCTTGAACAGTTTGGACTTCCTAGCTCATGCTGCACAGCCCCCCACTTTGCTGCCTGTCTGGCCAGGTTTTCTAGTCCAGGAGATGCAGGGTGGACTTGGAGAAACCACAGTGAAAGCCGTGGCCCAGTGGAAACAGGTCTGCTCTCAGCTTATGTGTTTCCCTTGCTCATGCCCAGAAGCCAGAACTATGGATTCAGCCTAACAGCAAGTCTGACCTGGGAGATAAACTCCCCAGCAACTACTGCCCAGCCACCCCCTGGGCCAACTAATTGCCCTGCAGGCCCCAGACCCAGCCTCTTCCCCAGAAATGAAGCCTTTTCCTCCTCTCAGAACTCAGCGGCTTGCCTCACCCTCTAATGCCTCCCCAGCTCTAATACTACCTCTGTGGGTACAGCTGTCATATGCCTTCAGCTGTAACAAGCTCTGCACTGGGGATCCTGAAATGAATCAGACACCTTCCGGTTCCTCCCAAAGGTAAGACGCAGGCATCACTGCCTAGAATATAAGAGCAAGAGAAATGTCCCAGGGAGATTCAGCAAGCACCTGGGAGCTTAACAGAGGTAACATTTGCTTTGGGTGGGAAAAATTCTAGAAGGTTTCATGGAGTGAGTGGCATTGGGACTGGACTTTAAAATGTAGGGGTGGGAAAGAGAGTCCTTGTTTCATGTTGGTACAATTGCACAAGTGCAATTTCGGTGGTTGGTAGGAAGTGTGAGTGCAGCCAGAGAGGAGCGGGGAGGAAGAGCAGGCAGAACGTTGACGTTGATGCATCCCTGCTTAATAGCATCTGCCCTGCTGGACTATGAGGCCCTTGGGCACAGGGCCTTGTGAATCCCTCAAACTTCCTACCCACAGCGCAGCATCCTGCCCACAGGGGCTGTTCAAAAATGATACACTGGATGAGTGAATGAGCACACAAATGAATGCATGCACACATGAAATTGTAACAGGGTGGTCCCCAGGAAAAGGGGAAGTTCCAGGTTCGCTGCCGCACCATGAAGGAGGGTGGAGCTGAGCCGAGAAAAGGAGAAAAGAGAAAGAATCTGAGAGCCCTGGGAAGGAGACAGAAGCATAGATGGTTCCAGAATCAGACTGCTGTGGAAACTGAGGCCCTTCAGAGGGTCTGACTTGCCCACAGGTGTGGTAGGTGAGGCAAAGAACCTGGTCTGGCACATGGAAGGTGCTTGGTCACCCTCTGCCCTTCCTGCCTGGAATACACGCAGAGCCAGGCCCGGGAGCCTGTGGCGCCTGGGCCCCTCCTCATAGCAGCGCTGGGACCGCCTCCACACTCAGGTCTTCAGGGGAGTTGAAAGCAGAACACCTCAGCATTTCTGGGGCAGAAGGCAGGAGCAGGCGGGTGACAGACCCATTAACAACTCCTAGAAAGCCTTGGTTCTGCCCCTGCGGTGGTCTCCAACCCCATGCCACCCCCGCCCCCCACTGCCAAGTCAACTACATGGTGCAGACAGAGGGTCTCACTGCAGCTGTGACTGAGGAGACCCCCCCAACCCCCACAACGAGCACCACTGTGAAGAGCATTCAGAAAGTCCCAACAGTCTTGCCCTAGTTAAAGAATCACTGGCTTCCAGCTCAGGGCAGGCCTGGCTGCCTCCCTTGCTGGATGCATGGCTGAGACCTTCATTTAAGAGCCTTCCAGAAAGAAGCAGGTTGTTCTTGACAGTATAGTGCTTACTCAAGGACGGTAGAACAGCCCCTTGTGTTGGTTCGGCACATTACAGAGTATAAGGCACGTTCAGATCTAAGTTTGTAGTGATCCTCTAAGGTGAGAGGGTGATGATTTACTGAGCAACTGAGGGAGGGAGATGGTTGAGTGAGGGTGTGTGCAGAGTTGGGACTTGAACCCAAGTCTCTGGCTTTTGGGTCAGATGCTACCATACTGGAGAGTTGGGGTGTGGATTATCCTGGGAACTGCCTACACAGGCTGCCCAGAAAAATCTCAAGAAAGCACTCACCCAGCAGGAAACAGCCCCCAGCCCCAAGCAACTTCTGTACCCCCAACCCCCTAGGAAACTGGATTTACCGACCACAAAAGCCTAAATTCCTCCCAGGGCCTGAGGCTGTGAGCTTCCCCTTCCTTCACTGAAATCTACATACTTCTGGCCCGTGATGGAGCCACAAGTTAATCTGCTCATCTAAATCCTAGACAAATAATTTGGCAAACTCCTGTCCAATGATTGCCAAAGGCAAGTCCCTCATCCTCACCCTCACCTTTTCTCTCCCCTCCAAGGCCCACCCCTCAGTTCTCCCTCCCTGGTAGGTATGTTGCATCACCATCCAGAATCTGCAGTGGCTCCAGAGTGCCTTAGGAATTACTTAGGAATTACTGTCTCATCCAACATGGCCAGTGGCCCTCCACAGCCACTCCGCCCCTCCACAAACTTCCACTTCAGTCAGAGAAGTTCCCTGCCATGCTTCAGCTGTACCTCTGCTCTCTTGCCTCTGTCAATCTCTCTTGTCTTCTCCCACCAGGCCTGTGTCATGATTCGACGTGCTGATCAAAAGCTGTTTCCAAGAATCTGCCATCCAGCAGCATCTCTCTCCTGACTTCGACAGACTGTGTTGTAGTGGTGGCTGGCAGGGACCAGCTTGGCCCAACCCATAGGGTCTAGCACCCTCCCCCAGGAGGTCAGGTCTGCCTGGCCCCTTGCTGGCTCTGTGGTGGAGGGAGAGCAGGATGTGTGAACAGCAGGAGGGCAGTGGCTGGAGGTTTTCCCAGTGGTCTTGGGAGTTGGCTGGAGCTTAGATTTTTCTGAGCAGTGGTTGCAGCCACAGGCAGGAGCATCGGGCTGGGAGTCCAGAGCACGGACCCTGGACTGCATTCCTGTAGTCCTGTGAATGCACTGCACTGGCTGCAGCAAGGTGCACAGTGGGAGCCTCCTTCAGGCTTGGCCTTTGGGCCTGGATGCTTCTTGTTTTTTTAAGGGCACTGACCTCAAGATCAAAGGCCCTGAAGGGCCCTGCCTTCCAATTTAGTGGTGCCAGCAGGAGAGGGGTGGTGCAGAGATTGGCATGGCGATTTGAGAGTCAGAGAAAATAGTCTTTTAAACCCTCCAACAAATATTTGTGAAACACTCTACTTCCATGAGATCAGGGCAATAGGAACTCTCTGATCGGCCCTTTTGCTTGCATGTGGCTGAACAGAAAGGCCCTAGCCTGTGCCTGCGTCTCACCTCCCAGCCCTGCCATGCTGCATTGGAGTCCCTTTCTGACAAGCTGGAAAGGAATGAAGGAACCCACTCTACCTGGAACTGCCTAAAGGGAGGAGCCATCTGCAGGATGAGGAAGCAAGAATGACAGTCACTGCCCTTGGGGTGGCCAGGCTCCCACTCCTGACTCCTGGCAGTGGGCGTGGCGCCAGGCATGGGGATGCCTCAGAGGACCAGGCTGACCAGGTCTACCGTGGAGGAGTTCCCAGCCCACAAGGGACAGCCAAGGCAGCAAGTCACCCCAGTATAGGCGGCCAGTGCCACCGCAGGGACAAGCAGCTAGATGAGGGAGTCTCCCCCTCAGCGTATGTGTGTTGGGGTAGAGAGGGCTCCCCATTTCCCTAGAGACCTAATAGCTGAAGGAGTCAGCTGGGTGGGAAGCCTGGAGACCATACATTCATTGGTTCATCCCCTGCTCATTCAACACTGCCTTCTGGAATACTCTGCTAGCTATGGAGCCAAACGTCTCTGCCTCAAGGACCTCGCGGTCCTGGGGAGGAGGCCCTGCCGGGCTGAGACTGGGCTGTGAGGAGGTGAGGGGGACTCACAGCAGGCAGCTGTGAGGTTTGGAGGCACATGGGTGTGGGAGGGGTGCATGTCGGGAAGGACAGCTGAGCCGTGGGGAGGGGCGCATCGGAGATGCTTGAGCTGGTTTGCTCTGCGGGCCTGAGGGGCATCTGTCTCCTTCTGGAGCCTGGGAATCTTCAGTGTGGAACAGGACTAGGACATCTGCCAGGATCAATTCAGACTGGGCAGAGAGTGCCTGTGAAGGTTGAAGGTCACAAATGGATCTCCCTGGATGGGGGTGGCTGCAGGGAAGAGGAGATAAGAGCCCTTTCTGCAAGCCTGCTCGGCTGCCCAGAATCCAGGAGGACAACCTCTACCCGC